TGAAGAACATCCAAGTGGAGGCGGTGAAAATTACAACTTTCCATTGATGCATATGTGTTTTGATTCTTGGAAAATGATCATATAACTTTTTTTTTCGGAAATAAGCATTGAAAAACACATGTATGCATATGTGTGTGTATGTATACATACATACATACATACATACATATACATGTATATATATATATTTTCCGAAACTCATTTCACAATGTCAAGGTGATGTTGGTGATTCTGATCAGCAAGTGCTGGCAAGCATGGCAAACCCAAGATGTAGGCCGTCTGCCGGTGTTCCCTGAAAAGCCACTGCCTTTTGTAACTCCAAGCGATGCGCTTTGGATCTATGGCGAATGCTAAAAGAGGAAGATACCTAGAGGGCCTGGGTGAGCTGCGGTTACATGTTTTTCACGTATGCAGCTCTCAATGGAAATTGCATGGCCCCCACTTCCCGCAACTCTTCAGTTGCACCTGTACTCGAAGTACCCCGGAAAACGCACAAAAAAAGGGGAGCTTCAATCACAAATTTTTCAAAGAAGGCAGCTGTTCCACGTCCGGGACCTTTCTTTCTAAGTCCAGCAAGTCTCGTCCTTGTTGTTTCAAACGACGTCCACTGAACATGTCCGGATCATCCACAATTCTCCAAGTTTGGTGGCAAGCCCAAAACGGTTCATTTGGTGATCTTCCCCTCTTTTGGTCAAACTGTTAGCAAGTTGTGCCCGGGCGCTCACCCATCGCAAATCCAAATCATTCTGGTGTTCGGCCTCCTTCAGGGCCAAAAGTTCAATATCGATTTTCTTAGATTGACCAGTAGGGGAAATATAAGGTCTTTGAAGTTTGTCATAAACACTTTTACTGTCAGTCACCAAAGTTCCGGGGGTCTTACACACCACATTATTAGGGTCCCTTAAATCCACTTCACCCCCATTCATCTCTCCCCATTGGTACCTCAAAAACCACAAATTGTCTTCCGCGTCAACCGCGGCTCTTGCCTCCGCTGACGCTGGTGCTCTGCACACCCTCTCGATCTTTGAGCTTTGCCAGAAAATTGGGGAAATCCTAGCCACTTCGCCTTTTCGCAAGGCTAAGGATGCCATTCCCACAAAAATCCCTTTGGTGGAATATCCAACAACCCTGTTTTGATTGGACGCATCCACCCACGCAAACAGACGGACATCATGGAGAGGGAGAGGAAAAATCTTCATGGGTTCCCTAGACGCGTCTCTGATTTTATGGAGAAGAGAATTCGCTTGGAGAAGGTGTTCGACCGTCGATTCAGGGACTTCCGACAGCGACAGTGAGACATACGCGGAATGACGATACCCAACCTGACTACAATGCCAAGACAAAGCTCCAAGGAGACCGCGAAGTTGAGTTTTCTCCCAAGGGGTAGTTTGTTCCTTCCTATTCTTCCTACGCTCTTGGTTGACAGGAATTTCTTTGGCCTTTTCCATGTACCTACGCTGGGACAACAACCAACCTCCATCCACATCCTTGGTGATTTGAACCCCGCACTGAGTGAAGTTGTCTTTTTCAAATTCCCCCCGTCGAAAATGATCTTGGATACGCGTTCGGATGTCAATCCACACTGGATCATGCTCATCAGCCACAAAAACAAAATCATCCACATGCCCCGAAATCATGACATGAACCCTGTCACCTTTTTTTAAAATCCAACAGCAGGGGTCACTGCCCATTTGGGAAAAACCAAGACTCAACAAAAAAGTTCTAACAGTCTCATACCATTCATAAGGAGCCTGGACTAAACCGTAACAAGTTTTCCGAAGTCTAGTCACACTTTCTTTAGGAACTCCCAGTTCACGACACAATTCCGGAGTTGGGACAACAAACAAATCATCATCCCTTTCTCTTCCCTGGAGAAACGCGGCTGCAACATCCCCTTTCCAAGCTGACCATTTTCTACTCGCTGCTGACTGAAACAAGAACTGCCGTGTGTGGCGCGTGGTGGTGTGGGCATAATTGGTGCGATATTCGTGCTGAGGATCCTGATACCCCAAAATCACAACCCTAGCCTTAGCAACTTGTTCCCCTTCCCCATCCACTTTCCAGGTGAGAAGCCATCTCATTTGAATGGCTTGGTCCTTGTTGGGCTGCAAGTGAAGTGGAAGCACCTGCAATGCTTCCGCAGCGAGGAATTTCTTCACTTCCACGTCTTTTGCCTTTTGGAATTTGTCAAAGGTCTCGGCATCCATGTGTTTCTCGTGCACCTCCACGCCTTTCTTCTTGAGCATGTTGGCGACATAGGCCTCAGGATCCTTCGCCATCTGCATCCAGCCATGTCTACTGGCGGGCACAGGAATCTCAATCTGAACGAATGCTTTCTCCTCTGCCCAGAAGCTGGACTCTTCTGATCGCACTTCCGCCCTAATGGGTGATCTACTTCTGTCTCCTTGGCCGGGGTGTGTTCTTGTCGAAGAGGATGGCCAAGACCTTGCTTCTCGAGAGGGCTCCTCGACATCATCAAAGATGGAATCCGGCATTGGTGCCGCTGCAGAAGGAATCCCCTCCTGGTCTCCATCCGCATCCACCTGCATGTCCACAGCTAGCCGCTGCTGGTTGGCTGGATCCTGTTCTCTTTCTTTTTGATGCTGAGCACTCTCTAAAATCTTGGTGGCCATTCTTCGTCTAGGAGGCGCACACCAATAGCGTGCCATCTCATCGGCTCCACGAATTTCTGGTGGTGGTCCCCCTTCTCCAGTAATGTCATCATACTCTTCTCGGCCCAAAGGTTGAGCCAGTTCCGTCATGGACCATGGGATGTTTGGTGGTCGTTCAGCTTCATGTATGGCATGTTCTCTTTCAGAAGCTGGTCGAAGTTGTTCAATGGAAGCCTTCAGAAGGCGATTCTTGCGCACCAACCACACCACTGAGCTGGGGCGCAGTTTGCCGTCGCCCTCCCTCCGGGTTTCCAGAGCCAGAACTCGGGCTGGCCCAGCGTAGCCACCTAATGCTCCAGTTTGATGTCGCGTGCCATCTTGCTTGGCCTTGATGTAGCTTCTCCAGTAGAACACAAGGTCGCCTGGGCAGTACTCGGGCCGGCTTCTTGCTTTCGAGTTCAAGGCTCTTTTGATTCGCTCTGTCGCCTGCCATCTGACAAAACTCTGCTCAGCCTTCACTCGGGCCTCCTGTTGCCCCACATGTTCACCTTCTGGATTTTCCATCAGCTCTATTGGAAGCCCCTGCACCTCACTGTCAAAGAGGCGCCCACTCAGATCCGGTGTTCTGCCCAGCGCATGTTGGTATGGAGAAAATCGCCGCACCATTTCTCTCTGATTCCAGATGGAGATGGCCATGGCAACGCCATCCTGAGTGGTGAAATCTGGATCTTCTGCGGTCTGGCGTGAGAGATTTTCTTTGAGCCATGCAACACTACGCTCTAGAGGCGATATGTGCCAGTGTGCATCCCCTGGGATGGCATCCAACATGATCTGCTTCTTTCAAAAGAATTCATCCAGTTTTCGGGATCTCCAAGTCCCTTCCGCATCATACCTCAAAGTTTCGGGGTTCCCAAAATAAGTTTGCCAGTGGGTTTGAAAAAACTCCATGTATTGTTCAGCCTTCACGTAATCGGTCGCCCCTTCAGCAAGGACTTTCCCAACCAAAAAATCTACTCCCCTGATCCATGAACAAACCAATAACAGCCCTTTTATCTCTTCGGGGGTCCCTCCAAACCATGCAATCCGCCAAAACCACCTTCCATCTTTTGGGGATCACTTCAAAATTCGCGACCCTTCGGGGACCTGGTTTCTTACGTTCTTCACAAATATGACACCGAAAAGATTTGGCCCATTCCAACACTTTGGGGTCAACCCCTTTTTGTTGCAGAGCTTCAACCAACAGTTTCAAATCCCCATGGCCAGTCGCGCTGTGAATTAAACGGAATTTCTTTTCCCAATCATGCTTCTGCCTAACTTCTCCGGCCTCTTCCACTTCGGGATTTTCACCTTCTTGTTCCCCAACAAAGATTTGGTGGTCACCCCTTTGAAGGATACAGTGGGAACAAACTTGAACCAACCCCTGGTCTTGAAACATGTCACAATTGCACTTCTTCGGGTTATACACCTGCCCATGCTTGGAAAACAATTCCCCTTGAAACAAACCCTTGGTGGTCAACTGGGGTTGTAACTCTTCCCACGTTTCTTGATTGCGGAGATGGTGAATGACCCTCTTAGCCATGGTTTCGGGGTAAAAGGCCGACACGCGAGTAAGGGACCCTTCACAAACCACATGTTCTTTGGGGCATTGTTCCCGAAGACAAGGAAGGTGAACCTTACACGCAAACCTTTCATTGGTGGTTTCGATTTTCCATTCTTTACCCACAACTTTTTGGGTTTTGGGGTCTTTAAGACCAACCCTGCAACCCCCAACAATGGCCATATGCAATTTCATTTGGGTTTTCATGCGATCCATGAGTTTCCATTTCCAAGCTCTACACTGCCTTGACCACTCCCAATGGATGTGACTTCCTTGAGATCGAGCAAAATACGCAACCACCAATCCCCCCAAATGCTGTTTGCGAGCATCTCTTTGCTTTTCTTTCAAATCCTGGACCTGTTGGTCACTACGCTGATTCAAGTTTTGCATGGGAGAAAAAGCACCGCACTCCGTGGAAATCCAAACATGTTCCGGCCTACCTTCTTCAACCAACTTGAGAACTTTCCTAAGACCCTCAGGGGTGGTGAGATCACATCCATTAACCAGCCCTGATCGCTCAGCGCGCAAACCTTGTTTTCTTGCTTCGTTGGTCAAAGTAGAGTTCTCTGAACATGCCACTTCAAGAAGAAACAACCTATTTATACTGGCCACACTTGCCCGTTGTTCTGGCAGCATCCAATTGGCTGCTTCGCGAAGCTGACTACCCTCAGCCTCAGTCAAAGTCTGGTGGAGGCAAGTTGGTTCTTCATAGGTGTCGGGGTCAGTGGAGTCACTTACTTCGATCCCACCTGCTCGAAGCTCATCTGGCTCGTGGTGGTCTTGCGATTCTTGGAAGAGGCGGCTGACTCTGACTGACTCTTGAGCTCCTGGAGCTCTTCCTTCATGGTATGAAATTCGACCATCATGTTCTTCACCATGTGCATCATTTCGTGTTGGATGCCCTGCTCGTCTGGCTCGTGGCTCTTGATGGTCACTGGCTGCTCTGACTTGGGCTTGCGGTTCATGCTCTCCTGAATGGCCTGCTGGGCATTGCCGGGCACATAGGTCTCGGGAGCTGCACATAGCTCTGGTGCCTGGCTCACCTTCTCGGCCCACTTGCCAAACTGGATCATTGGCATTGCTGATCACATGCTGGCGCAAAGCAAGGCGAAGTTCTCCCACTGAAGCTTGGTTGGTGAATGGAATCTCGCGGCTTGAGCACAGGCGACGCAACTCGTCGCGCTTGGCATCCTTGATCTGCTTCATGATGGAAGGGCCATGAGAGCTGGCAATCAACCCCAGACGCTTGCGCATCTCGCGCAGAAGCACCCGGAGCTCCTGAAGCGAGAGGTCCTTGTGAGGATTCTCGCCGAAGTCCTTCAGCTGCGTGATGCACTCCTGCTTGTTGCACAAGTAGTGGGGCTTGATCTTTTCTGCCATCATAGTGGGCTGCGCCATTGGAGTTGGAGACGTCATGGCCCTGCAAAAACCTGTCAGGTTGAGTTTGGGCGGTCGGAGCTACCTGATCAACTAGACGACGGTTGGCCCGAGAGCGAAAAAGATGTTTTTCAAGCAGCTCTGAGGATGGTAGTCGTAAAAGATAGTCGGTGAATAGTTGGAGAATTTTATATGAGCTATGGAAAGATATGATGTGAAATATGATGTGAAAAAGTAAGATTGATCAAGAAGAGAATATTTGGTAAAGGGCATCAGATGACATGTGTCTTGCAACCAGAGAGAGAGAGAGAAAGAGGGGGCAGAGATAAAGAGAGAGAGAGAGAGAGAAAGAGAAAGCAAGAGAGAGAGAGAGAGAGAGAATGAAAGGGGTGGGGTAGAAAGAAAACATGGAGAAATGTAATGTGAGCAACAAAAGTGCACAGGAGGCTCAGTGCCATGAGTCTGCGAATGACATGTGCTATCTCATTTTATTATGGTAATTCCCACACACATTGCGGAACCATCATTCCGTGAACGCGAAGAAACGCGACGCTTTTATACAGAGACACTTTTACACACAGAATCTTTTACACATAAACACTTTTACACACAGACGCTTTCACACAGAGACGTTTTTCATGCGCACACACACAGACGCATTTCCACACAGAGACTTTTACACGAAAACACTTTAACACACAGACGCTTTTATACACAGACTCTTTTACACACACACGCTTTTACATGCAGATGCCTTTTTACAGACGCACACACACCTTCACACACAAACGCTTTTACACACAGACGCTTTTGCACACAGACACAGACGCTTTTCCACACGGACCCTTTCACACACAGACGCTTTTACACACAAACACTTTTACACACACACGCTTTTACACACGGACGCTTTTACACGCAAACACTTTTACATACAGGCGCTTTTACACACAGACGCTTTTACACTCAGACATTTTTACACACAGACGCTTTTCCACACAGACCCTTTTACACACAGACGCTTTTACACACAAACACTTTTACACACAGACGCTTCCACAGAGACTTTTACACAGAGACGCTCACAAAGCGCGGCACCACTGGGTGACCTCAGTTGCAAACAAAGGTGCGCAAACATAGTTGCAATGGAAATGCTAAAAAATCGCAAAAGTGCACAAGACCAGGCTCAGTACCATGATCAACGCACAATCCAATGCAAGGCATCCGCTCTTTGAGATACAAAATAAGCTCGGCACCATGATGCCGTGGATGACCTCAGTTGCCAACACAGGTGGGCAAACAAAGGCTCCGTACCATGGCATCCAAGAGAATCTAGAAGTCCGTGCAAGAATGCTGTGAATGATTCCACAATAGCAAGTTCGATATCATGATGGCAAGGATGACACCTGTTTCACTGCATTTCTCCGATGTCCCTACAGGATGGAAAAAAAAAAATCTTTACAGACAAACAACAGTTGGCTACTGGTTTTGCATGTTCGTCACGAACAGTCTCTCCAGACGAACACTGCTACAGATTAATTTGCGCCAGTTGCACTCAGTTCCATGTGCCACTCGGTACGCAAGCCTTCCAGCTCCCACAAGCTGCTTCCAAGCAAAGGTCGGTACCATGATGCTGCAGATATGGCATGTTTGCCGCTTTTACTACTGCAGCAATCCGGCTACTGCGGTCGATCTTTATCTGGGCACCTCCACGGACACGACCTAAGTTCGGTAACAAAAAACTCAGCAGCTGGGCAACACCATCTTGCATCATCTCGCAATGCCTCTGCATCCGAAGTTCCACGGCATCGGACGACGCGGATGACGCGGTCCCATGCTCCATCCGCACAGACGTTCCCGTCAGCAAATGAAACAGCGACCACAAAACGTCCACAAACGTCACGGGTGCGTGACTTCAAACAAACATTTTGCATTCAGAAATTCCGAGACATGCATATCTATTCCCTTGATTTCAAAACAATGCCATGACATGCTTGATTTCAAAACAAAATAGAACGGTACAATATTGAACGGTACAATGATTCCCGTAGTATTTTTTTGTCCACTGCTCATGCATTTCAATGAAAACATCACATATATTTTTTTCGTGCTATACATCACATAGATCCACTGCATCGTAAACAAACACTGACATTGTCACAATGCAATTCTCGAGATCTCACGGACACACCAAACGAACCAAGCTCCGCACGTCCTAGCACGGATACACTAGCAAGCATTGTCACCCTCAATCTCTAACAGTTCCATGTCGTGCGGTCAAAGTACACACAAAATCTTTTACACACAAACGCTTTTACACATGGTGCTTTTACACAAACACACTTTGACACACAGACACTTTGACACACAAAAGCCTTTACACACAAACGCTTTTACACACAGACGCTTTTACACACAGACGCAACGCTTTTACACACAGACGCTTTTACACACAGACGCTTTTACACACAAAAGCTTTTACACACAGACGGTTTTACACACAGACGCTTCTACACGCAGATACGTTTTACACACGCACACACGCTTTCAAACACAAACGCTTTTACACACAGACGCTTTTACACACAGACACTTGTACAGAAACGAAAGCGTCCATCGCAATTTTTCCTCAGTTTTTGACGTCCAACGTCCATTTCGTGCGAAAGGGTTACGATTGACAAAGTAAAATCGCAATTTTTCCTCAGTTTTTGACGTCCAACGTCCATTTCGTGCGAAAGGGTTGCGCGCGACCAATAAAAGTTGCAATTTTTCCTCAGTTTTTGACGTCCAACGTCCATTTCGTGCGAAAGGGTTACGATTGACAAAGTAAAATCGCAATTTTTCCTCAGTTTTTGACGTCCAACGTCCATTTCGTGCGAAAGGGTTGCGATTGACAACTCAAAGTCGCAATTTTTCCTCAGTTTTTGACGTCCAACGTCCATTTCGTGCGTAAGGGTTGCGCGGGACACTTCAAAGTCGCAATTTTTCCTCAGTTTTTGATGTCCAACGTCCATTTCGTGCGAAAGGGTTGCGCGCGACCAATAAAAGTTGCAATTTTTCCTCAGTTTTTGACGTCCAACGTCCATTTCGTGCGTAAGGGTTGCGCGGGACGCTTCAAAGTCGCAATTTTTCCTCAGTTTTTGACGTCCAACGTCCATTTCGTGCGTAAGGGTTGCGCGGGACACCTCAAAGTCACAATTTTTCCTCAGTTTTTGACGTCCAACGTCATTTCGTGCGAAAGGGTTGCCGGGGACGCTTCAAAATCGCAATTTTACCTAGGTTTTGGACGTCCAACGTCCATTTCGTGCGAAAGGGTTGCGTTTCGTGGCGCTCCGGCGGCACCGCCCCCGCCTTAAGAGAGAATAGAAGAAGAGCGAGAGGAGATCTGCAGATGTGAAGGTGTGAAGATCTAGATCTGCAGGTGTGAAAGTGTGAAGATCTAGATCTGCAGGTGTGAGGGTGTGAAGATCTAGATCTGCAGGTGTGAGGGTGTGAAGATCTAGATCTGCAGGTGTGAGGGTGTGAAGATCTAGATCTGCAGGTGAGAGGGTGTGAAGATGTAGATCTGCAGATGTGAGGGTGTGAAGATCTAGATCTGCAGATGTGAAGGTGTGAAGATCTAGATCTGCAGGTGTGAGGGTGTGAAGATCTAGATCAGCAGGTGTGAAAGTGTGAAGATCTAGATCTGCAGATGTGAAGGTGTGAAGATCTAGATCTGCAGGTGTGAAGGTGTGAAGATCTAGATCTGCAGACGTGAAGGTGTGAAGATCTAGATCTGCAGGTGTGAAGGTGTGAAGATCTAGATCTGCAGGTGTGAAGGAGTGAAGATGTAGATCTGCAGGTGTGAAGGTGTGAAGATGTAGAAGGTGTGAAGATCTAGATCTGCAGGTGTGAAGGTGTGAAGATCTAGATCAGCAGATGTGAAGGTGTGAAGATCTAGTATAACGGCTGCTTTTTTACGAAGAACCCTTCGCAGGCGCTCTCGGGAAAAATGTGCTGCTGATTCTGGCTACCATGTTCATGGTTGCGAAAAACCCCTTGAGAAACTGGTTGATGAACTAAAAGAGACAAACTACTCTTGCGATCAACCCTGTCACTTGTGTCTGTTTCATGAGCATGTTTCTTACTTAGTCCGTGTCCAACCGCAACATCAGGAAAACTACTCTGAGACTGCCTTCCCTGCTCAAATTTGCCTGAAGCTTTTGTGGCCCCACACCCGGGTACAGGCACTCCCGAGCTGAGTCTGCCATCCTATTCAGACAAAAGTTCTTGAAGGCTCTTTACCGGTGCTCCTACCTGAACCCCGGCTCTCAGAAAATCTTCAGCTAAAGGAAGAAGCTGATGCCCTGCCTGGCTTTGCTCGAGCTTGACGATGGTCTGGGAGTCTAGATGTCGAAAGACTGCCAGGTCATGCTCATAGTCGATCACTGCGCCCATGCGTCGGAGGCTGTCGACGCTCAGCAGGATGGGTGCTTCTCCTTGACCCAAGACGTGGATCTTCATGTTGACGTTCTTCTGTTCCGAGGAGAGCTTCATATGGCATGTGCTCAGGCATCGGGATTTCTGGGAATTCCCGAAGCCGAAGATTGGCTGCTCATTGGGATTGATGTGCATCACTCCGCTTACCCCATGCTGCTTCTGGTGCTGCTTCTCCAACATCTCTAGAGCATGGAGTGACCCCATTGTTCTTGTGGCCCCTCCGTCGATCACTGCTTTGCCCTGTCGGACAGCCTCTTCTGTGGACATGTCCCATGAAGAACATCGGACTGACGCTGAGCTCACCGGCCAGTGCCATTTCTGGTACTTCGAGATCACTTCGAGATCTTCAGTGTTCGCGCAGTCATTCTCCGGAGCGTCCTTGGGCTCATTGAAGGTGAACTCGGCTGCCCTGGTTCGTCAACTATTTGGGCACTCTCCTTCTGGGGGCATTGTGCTGCCTTGTGGCCCATTGCCCCACATTTGAAGCATGGGCCATGTCCTGGCAGACGAGCTCCCGTGCCCATGCCAACCGGTCCACCTCCTCTACCAGTGCCCTTGTTCTGTGTGTTGGCGCCCGGTCTATAGAACTTGCGAGACATCTTGATCTCGTGCTGACGATTGCGAGCCTCACGGAGGGTTCGCCTGGCTTGCTGGAGCTGCACCCAGGCATGATGTTCTTCTGCTGGCATCTTGAAACCACCCTTTTTGTTCCTCAGGCCATTCTTCAAACATGGCCAATTCTTCATCTAAGGGCTCCTCCTCCTCGGACTTGTAGTCCTGCTGGTAGTTGGCCTGCTGTTTAGCTTCACCTTCACGTTTGCGTACCTGGTCATCATTCCAATGACTGCGCAAGGCATTTTCCACGCCGCTCAACGTGAAGTTGCCTTTGATCTCCCCTTGAATCACTGACTTTTCCAAGGTGTCCAAACCACTCTTCTCCAGCAAAAACCAACCCAGCACTGCGTCCGGTAGAATTTCTACCATCTTGTCCTCTTCGCCCTCTCCCATGTCCTGTGATGAAGCCGTAGAACCCCTCCATGGTTGTGACTGCCATCCATAAGATGACCAAGCGGGGTAGCGCCATCCCCAATTGCCATACCATCCCCATGGCGAAGTGTGCCACCATTGGTCCTCCGCGGGAGATGGTGCTGCTGTCTCACTATTGTCTCCTGTTTCTCCTTCTGCCTGCCGCTGGCCCTCTAGGTTCTCCCCATTCTGCGTTGTGTGGTCAGCTTCAGAAGCTGTGCGGGATGTGCCCCCAGTAGCTTGTACTCGTGGAACTTTATCTCGCCTGGGCTGTTGCTCCTTGACCATTCGGGCCAAGGAGCGACACATCCTCTCATATTCTCCCCGGTGCCGCACACAGAAAGCTGTCATGCTTTCTCCCCTGCGGTGCCTCTAGACTCTGAAGTACTGCCTCATGTAGTTCCCCACCTCTGGCAAGGCAGGCTCCCCTATTGCTGCCTGTAGATGGGAAAGGAGGACTTATTTGGATCACTCAACCAACTACTGCGCTTTCCAGCTATGGCTGTGCGAGCTGCCCCAGTCAGCTCGGCTGCCAGCCTTGGTCCGCACGTGTACCTGGTCTCGTACTTGGTCGAAGCCACAAAAAGCCTCGCAGCCTGCCGGCACTCCAGCCAAGACGCTGGATCACCCGACCAGCCGGGTACTCCGTCTTTGTTCCTACTCACCGACATGTGCCTAAACTGCTTGGGATGCCCAAGTTGTAGTACTGCAATTTCAAAGAACCACAAAAAAGATCGCCTGAGGCTCCGCTACCGTGACGGCCGTCTGCCGGTGTTCCCTGAAAAGCCACTGCCTTTTGTAACTCCAAGCGATGCGCTTTGGATCTATGGCGAATGCTAAAAGAGGAAGATACCTAGAGGGCCTGGGTGAGCTGCGGTTACATGTTTTTCACGTATGCAGCTCTCAATGGAAATTGTACAAGAAGTGGGCATGGAAAGGCAGCTGGGGTGACTTTCGCTGCTGTCTTGTACTGGGGAACCCACCGAGGTAGATCTGCAGCGAAACTCTACTCCTAAGAGGCTGTGAAGTTGCTGAGAAGAGAGGGAATTGAAGATCATCCACAATCCAGTCACAAAGGATCCTAAAAAGGTGCCTGGCAAAGTGGCGAGTCCAGGCAGCAACAGCAGCAGCTGGCAGTTGATTGGATGTGGGCTGGTAAAAACTAATGCCATATATATATATATACATATATATATACATATATATATACATATATATATATACATATATATATATATACATATATATATATACATATATATATATAAGTATATATATATGTATATATATATACATATGTATATATGTATGTATGTAAATATATATGTATATATGTATATATGTGTATATATATATTTATGTATATGTATATATATATGTATATATATACATATGTGTATATATATATATGTTTAAATATATATATATATGTATTCATAATTATATATATATGTATTCATAATTATATATATATAAATATATGCATATGTATCAAACTATGTGTATATGTATATAGTAACATAGTATATTGATATTCCGGCCACAAAGTCTGGCCAAAGCAGCAACAAAGCTGTTTCTGAGCTGAAAATAGCAGCTGAGGCGTGAGAATCTAGCAGCCTTCATGTGCGAAACATCGCCGGAGGTTTTTGTTCCTGAATGTTTTCACATAGACATAGATGTATTGAGATGTATATTATCAGCCCGGGCTGAAACGTGCTAAAACCCTATCCAATAAACTCTTTTTAGGTCAGCTGGGAGAATCTGTCAGCCTCTCACTGTTGTGCCTGGCCAGCATGTAGACGGAAACATCTGGTAGATATCTTAGATCTGCATCAGGGGTCCAACATAGAACATGTTCCTAGTAGAGTCTCCAACATGGGTGGATAAAACAAGGCGAACAGTCTATGCATCTTTAGCAAGTCCAAGGAAACAAGATGTGTTCGGAACCTGGTTTCAAAAGATATGAGGACCAAGCCAAGAACACTGCCTCCAAAACACTGCAGACTCAGATAGATTTACACCATGAATCTGGAAGCTTTCCATGTTTGTCTTTAAACAAGTTTCACTTTGGCCGAGTTCAATGTCCTCTGCTGGCAATGAGCCAAACCAGCACAACCCCAAAATCCATCATGAACCACCATGGATTTTAGGCCGAATTGATCATCAGAACATGCACATCGGCACACTATGAGCCAGGTCAAGATTACGACGACGGCCAGCGCCAAGATGCATAGCAACATCTTGCCTGGCGCTGCTGGGAATCTCAGCTACAGCTTCCAAGCAATGCATAGCCAGTGACCTCTGTGACTGTAAACTTTGAACAGGAAACCGGTTGCCGAACGATCATGAAATCATCACCACCAAAGTTCTATCACATGCAGTCCCGCAGAAGAAAAGTCAGAAGAAGGACTTCCTTTTACTTCAGACCAGTACCAGGATGATGTGGGAAGCTAGTAAACTATTAGTAACTGGCTAGCAGCTGGCAGAGACTGCATCACCTCTCAACATATCCCTAGCTGTAAGGATTTACAAGATATCTACAGGATTCATGGATTTCACAAGCCTTTCCAGCATCTTCAAAATACATTGAGACTCAATAAGTTCTTTCAATCGTTGTCCTTGGGGACTCGACCCTGCCAAGGAGGTGCCCAGGTGTGCCTCGTTGGTCTTTCCACCAGAGGTCATCGTTGTATCGTTTCGCACTACTTCGAAAGGACACCTCGGAACGCAGCTGACGCGTTTCGCATCAAATGCCACTTTCGCACCACTCGGACTGGCCACTTGGACGATGTCAAGCTGTATGATGGTTATGATTCATAATGATTCCTGGAGATGATTTTTGTACGCTAATTATTTGAGGCATATCCAGGACCCAGAGTATAACTGGACAAACTCTGCAGTTGGTTGCAACTGATGGCTCATGGAATTTGATCAAACCCGGAATCTTGTCTCGAAGTGATCTCAAAAGACACTCCAAGCAGCACACGCCTTGTATCACTTTGCTGTTTCAACAGTTCCCCCAAGTTCCAAACGGACTCAGCTTTCAGGGCAGATGTCTTGTCCAGCAAGGAATCAATGCGCTCTCCCCGCTCCATGACTTTTCCCAAGTTGTTGCGCATCATGTCGGTGACGTCCTGGTGCTACGGGAAACTGGTTGATGGCAACCATTTTCACATGCTCCAGCCCATGAGACATTGACACCTAAAATATCGTGAGCATGCTCCAAGCTTTCATCCGAAAGTGTCATGCTGGCCAAACCCAGACCCCAGAGAGTAGAAAAGACATGAAAAGACCAATTCTGAACCCATTAAACGACCGGTTAAACAATTAAACGGTTATATAAACTGTGATCCTGACTTTGATCTATTTTGATCCACTCCGACCTTTGATCCCAGCCTCGAGGTCCCTCTCCACTTGTTGGACTCGACCACCACCATCCGAGTTGTATCGCATAATCAAATCACGGAGCATCCTGCCCCGGAAAGGTTGCTGAGTGCAGAATGCAGGCACAAATAAGCTTCAGGCCCAAATCAAACAGGGTCTATCTTCAATGCAATGAACATGAAAACAACAAAAACACCCAATATGCCAATAGATAAAACTTACGCGGAGGGCCATGGCAAAACAGAAGTGGAATCTGACCAGCCTGAAACATATGAAAACCCAACGCATGTTAGTTTTTGTCTCTTTTCCAAACCCTGCCAACCTGTTATGTATGTCTGTATAATATAATGTTTTGTTTTTCAAAGCAAAACCATGTTCCAAGTAGTCGAAGGATGCGGTCTCAAGTGGTGCAGGATGCACTCAGGACAGAACACGCAAAACTAGTAGAACTTCATCTTTTCACCACCCCAAGCTGCTTAGACCTCCAAAATTATCTATAAATAAAGGTATCTACTCTTGGCCTGGATATCTTTTCTTGCAGCATCATGCAGATGTTTGATTCAAGACATGGAAAAACATTGTCATTTTCTGCTGCAACTCTTGGACATCGAATCTTGAAAGGCAAGTCTTCCAGTACTGCCACATCGTTTCAAGATGTGTTAAAGGGACCAACCTAAATAAACAGAAAACGCAGCACCCTTTTTGTAGGTCCCTCAAAGTTGACTTGCAATGGCCCATAGTCATATGCTGAAACGGTCCCTCTTATGTATCTTTCACTGGCTCAAGATGACTAAACATTGGAGAGCAAACTGTCCAGAAATGTACCAACAGTGAGACAGAAAGATGTAGATTGTATGAAAATGACATGACGTTTGCGAGATCAGTGAGTAGTAACTTTCAAGAGAAGATCCAGTATAGAATCCCTAGAAATTCGCGGGCGTGGACGAAGGCATCTCGATGCCATTGTTTGACGTTTCATCTTTTCGTCCCTTCAAAATCGCCACTGCTACAGCCGTGGAGATCCCAACAGATCTTCAACCAACGGAAGCAAAGAGACAGACAGGACCAGAGATAAGTAGAAAAGAACTTTTTTTTTCCATGATTTTATCCCTATGACATATGTATTTGTGTTGATCCAATGGCTCTACTGACCTCCTGAACTCGTCCCCGCAGAATCTCCCATAACATATCCAACAAAATATCGCAACAAACCCAGCATGTTTTGTCAACTACTTCAAAAAATCATTATATATCATGAAATCATCAATCCATTAAAACCTCAGTATGCTTTCTTCATTATACCCTATGTTCATGGTCAATCTGCAACTACAACTACACTACATTACACAACACTACGCTACACGAATTGCACTACACTACACTACAACTACATTACACTACTTTACACTAATTACACTACATTACACTACACACTGCACTAACTACAACTACAGCTACAACTACACTACTTTACACTACACGACACTACACTAGACTACATTACATTACACTACACTCATTACACCACACCACAACTACAACTGCAACTGCATTACACTAACTACATTACACTACAACTACAACCCCACTACGCTACAACTACAACTACGACTGCACTACAATTGTGCATGAGGTGACCACTGCAACCATTGCAAGCACTCCAAAAAGCACAACTCCAACCACTTTTCCGTCCATCAGTGGATTCGCTCTGCCATCCATGCATCACAACAACTCACCTCTCCTATAGTGACCTATCTTTGAAACTTCCGCCACCGCCTTGTGCGGTACTACTGGTATGTAATACTATAGAATCTTAAGTATCTTACAAATAATACATCCCTTTATGTAAGAATCATCCCTTTCAGAAGGCACATCAAGGTGAGGCTCCTTCATCGATGGCGACTGGAAGCTTGGACTCTGTGGCAAGCTTCTGCACCTACAGCTGGAGACCGGGCCCCGGCAGTTTTCAATGGGTTCACCACTAGGAGAGTGTTTTTTCAATGTTTTTCACTCAGTTTCAGGGAGAAAAGATATGACGACATATTTTGGGCCATCTATGTTTCAGACTTTTGTGCTGGAAACATTTTTGTCAACCACCAATCATTTGCGAGGTCAAGGTCTGTGACAAAGAGATTACTTTGCAAAACTACCTGGAACATAAACCATCCCCTAAGGACTTTCCAAAGTCCACAGATTTCAACCATTCCCTTTGGGTGGTGTGAGGTTGATCCCTTTGGGTGTCATCCGCAAAAAGCCAACGGGGTTTTGTGCTGAGAAGTTTTATTTACACCCCCAGATTCTCAGATATGTGTTTCCCTCCACAACGAAAAACAATGGTTTCGTCTGGGGGTGTTTAATGTGAACTGGGGGAAGGGATCAAGGATTTCACCAGTATACCATTAATCTCCTACAAAGCCCCATTATATCCCATGATATTCCCATATGATTGGTGATATGCTTTTTTAATCACATGAAGTGCTTGTTGGTATCAAAGGGACGGCATCAATCAGGTCCCGACAGGGGAGGGCAGCCAGTAAATGGAATAATCCGCTGCTTGCTGAATATCCCATGTTTGATGCTTCATACCCCATGTATCTTGCCGATCCCAATGAAAAGAAGGGGTTGTTAAGCTGAAAATCATTGTGAGGATTTGATGGTCACAAAAAACATCTGAGATTAGGTGAAACAATCCAGCTACCCGCCCAGCAAACTGACATAAATGTGCAAAAACAGGGATGGTTTCCCAAGTAAGGTGATCTACAGTTCTGGTGGGCGTTCTATATAGGCTTGTCTGAAAATAGGGTTGATAGAAATTTTCCCAATCCACGAGGCAATTTTGTGGTATACCGATTCTTGGGCAAACCAATATCTATGTTGACTTACCTGAGGGTATGCCCCAAAAGTATCGATAGCTTAGTAAACACTGACACGCACAGGCCCAAGTTGTCAAGTAATGTGGCAAACCCAAAAGCATAGAACTACTACAATGTACCGAATGACTTACTAGTGATGGGGGCATTCTAAACCATACACCAAAAAAGTTTATTGCTTCTCAGGTTTGCCATATTACAACTTTTTGATTGGATACGTGTTGGTTATCACCACTGTTTATGGCTTAAATTCTCATTCTTGCTGGTAAAATCCCTATTATTCCCATATGGGGTTGTCTCCAAATATCGGAATCCGAAAATGAATTATTCTCAAATCACAAGTGCGGCCCTACAGGATACATGACATCCTCTGAATAATCACTCTCTTTACCCCCCTTTAATCGAACATAGCAATTGGAAATCTTCCAGGGAGGTTGCTTTGAGTGTGGAAATTGAAATCGCCGAAAGCGGCCACTTGCGGCCACTCGCTGGGAGCGGCCACTTGCGGCCACTTGCGGTTTTTGCGGCCACTTGCAGCCACTTGCAGCCACTTGCAGCCACTCGAGTGGCTGCAAGTGAAGTGGCTGCAAGTGGCTGCAAGTGGCTGTAAATGATGCAAGTGACGCTGCTTTGCGGCCACTTGCGGCCACTTGCGGCCACTTGCGGCCACTTGCGGCCACTTGCAGCCACTTGCGGCCACTTGCGGCCACTTGCCCTAGCGGCCACTTGCGGCCACTCGAGTGGTTGCAAGTGGCTGCAAGTGGCTGCGAGTGGCTGCGAGTGGCTGCTAGTGGTTGCGAGGGGCTGCGAGTGGCCGCAAATGGCTGCTCCCAGCGAGTGGCCGCAAGTGGCTGCAAGGTGCCAGAAAGGTATGAAATATTAAAATCTTGAAAAAATTGGATTGGAGGAAAAATTGTTTTCTTTTAAGTTTGGAAGTTGGATAGGTAAGATTTATGGTGTTTTTTCATCAACCAGGAAGGGTTAACTGGAAGCTTTTCTGGCACCACTTGCGGTTTTGCGGCCACTTGCGGCCACTCGCTTGGAGCGGCCACTTGCGGCCACTCGCTTGGAGCGGCCACTTGCAGCCACTTGCGGCCACTCGAGTGGCTGCGAGTGGCTGCGTGCTGGTAGAAATACATGGCAGAGTTGGCATCTTGAAAAAATCGGTTTTGCTGGAAAGGCGTTTTTTTCAAGTTTGGAGGTTGGATAGGTAGGATTTTATCGTGCCTCACGAAACCATGTGGCTAACCATATGCCACCCATGTCTTCCATAGCGTGGGGAAGATCTTGGGGCGTAGCATCAATGGTGGTAGAACGGGGGACAATTTAAAAAAGAAGATTTTGGAGAATAGCTCCAATGATGGTGCAATGTTGGAAAGTCGAAGGGAAAATCTTTGAGCGTAGCAAAATGACGGTAGAATGTTGGAAATGGAAAAGATATCCCAGAGCGTAGCATCAATGATAGAAGAAAATTGAAGAAAAGATCTCAGAGCGTAGCGTCAAGTATGTTAGAAAGCTGAAGAAAAGATCTTAGAGCGTAGTGTCAGTGATGGTATAATGTTTGAAAGTTGATGAAGAGAACACCTTAGACGGTCCATGATGCTAAAAAGATGAAAGAAACAATGTTACAGCATCAACGCAGTACTATGTAAGAAAATCAAAGAGAAGATCTGAGAGAGTAGCAACAACCTTGCTAGAAACTTGAAGGGTAGCAGCTAGCATGAATCAGGGTAGAATGTGAGAAAATTCAAGAGAAGAGCTTAGACCGTAGAATCACTCATGGTAGAATGTTTGGAGTATAGCATCAATGATGACGAAATGTTTGAAAGTTGATTAGACCTTAGAGCGTGGCATGTTAGAAAATACAAGAGAAAACCTTGGCACGTAGCGTCAATGATAATAGAAAGGTGAAGAGAAGATCCTGTGGACAATCATTATTTTTTAAAAATAAGCACTTAAAACTTGAATTCATTTTTATCCGAACCCTAACCGACGAATCATAGTCATCTCTTGGAAAGCTGTGTGGTTGGTGGCTCCAACCGTCCTTGAAAGAACATGGAACAAAAACTGGGTGAACACCCAGCAACTATGGGGTCTTTAGGGGTCCGGATGCGAAATCTTATGCTATCCTCTGCAAGGTGGCCCCCATGGTCCGCAGTGGTCCTTCACGCGAGTCTTCACTGGAGTCTTTTTGAACTCCCAAAGTTCTTCCTGTGTGACAACGGCATGGCGAAGCCCACCCCCTGTTGAGTCGAGAGTCGAGAGCTGCGATATCACTTTATCATGGCTTTAGGATCATTTTAGGATAATCCAAGAAAGCGGTCACTCAGGGCCAAGAAAAGGATTACTTTGTGCTTAAACCTGATCATGTCGGATGTAAGTTGGATCAGAGCCATCTATGGTCTTGAGTGCGGAGAGGTTCCCTTTGAGCCTGAGATAAGGTTAAACAAGAAGACAGAAAGCGCATCGCTTTTTGTAATTGTTGAAACACGCTTAAGAAGACATAGGCATCGTAATTCGGGCGGGCACCCCTGCCACCTCGAATCTGTCCCAGTTCGTATGACACACGGTGTCTGTCCTTCTGACCCTCTTGAAGTTTGGCCCACATCGCTGGACTAACGTTCTTTTGCCATCCAAATGGTATCTCCTTGGTGACAAGGGCGTGGCCAAAGTTTTATCACCCCTGCCTCAGTCGACCCCTACCTCAGCGCAGCCCCCAACAGTGGAAGTATCCTACTTACCTTCCGTGGGGTAAACCACGGTGAATTATGCAGTTTATCCAAGCGTGCCAAAGCCGCTCCATTGAGGAAGGGGTGAGGGCTGGCCCCAAGTTCAGACCGCATTCCAACCAATGTTCACATCCGGTTAGTAATCCCCTCCACAATCATGATAATAATGAACGCCAAATCCCCAAACCGATCAGCAAACCCCCGCGCCACAATAAAATGCGCCAACCGTTTTTTTGAATGTGTTTTTCGGTGCTTTTTTGATGGGGAAAAGGTGGTTAAAATTTATGGCTGCTTATGAATTCTCAAGTAGGCACTTTGTTCAGCAATACTAAAAGGGTCCGCAATGTATCAATTATGTATTCGTTTTCAATGAAGCAATTAGTTCGGCAGGACTCACACATTTAAAAAAGAGAGGGACCCCAGTCACCCCAGGCCTTTGTTTGGCCTCAACTTTTTTGGATGTAGAATCTGTTTTTGAAGGGGGCGAGCCCATCCAAAATTGGGGTTTGGTAGGGGGAATGTGGCGCCTCCCCCTTCTCCTGTTAATTTAGCCAGGCAGCAGATGGAGCAAGCTGCGGCATCTTGTTGCGAAGAAACCGCTGCTGGTAGCGCAGTCTCTTCACAATTTCCGGGGGGACACCCCAGAAGAGCCGCTTCTCCACCTGCATTTCCAAGAGCATTTTTTTTTCCAATGAGTTAACCCTAAGGATTAGGGGAACCCACACACTTTTTGCTCTGTTGAGAAGCAAAAAACATCATGTTGTTACAAAACCTTTTGAATGTTGGCGTGGCTCATTTTTGCAGATGACGCATGTAGAAACCCCAATCATCAACGGTTCTTTGACTGCATGAAATGCAACAAGCATCCTACCGCACAGCTTGCTTTTGTTGAGGTCCAAAGAGCATTGCATAATGCTAGGTGGCTTTTGACGTGCAAAGTGGCTGGTGTTTGCACGATTTTCTCTTCAACAAATTGAGCCCCAAGATGGGCCAACATAGCGCCAAGATGGGCCAACCTCGCCCCAAGATGGGCCAACATAGCCCCAAAATGGGCCCACATAGCCTCAAGCCGGGCCACCATAGCTCCAAGATGGGCCCAAGATGGGCCAACATAGCCCCAAAATGGGCCCTGATAGCTTCAAGCCGGGCCAACCCACCAACCCCAAACCGTCACGCACAAACCACGACCGACCAACCCCAACCCACCAGCGCCAACGCACAAACCAGCACTGACTTACCCCAACCCATCCATGCCGTACCTGCAAGCACAACCTACGACCGACCAACGCCAACCCACCAACCCCAAACCCAAAAACACAAACCATCACTGCCCACCCCCAACCCACCAACCCCACACCTTCACGCACAAACCGCGACCGACCAACCCCAACCCACCAACCCCAGACCCAAAAACATAAACCATCACTGCCCACCCCCAACTCACCAACCCCAAACCTTCACGCACAAGCCACGACCGACCAACCCCAACCCACCAACCCCAAAGCACAAACCACCACGAAGCAACCCCAACCCACCCATGCCATACCTGCAAGCACAAACCACGCCCGACCAACTCCAACCCACCAACAACAAAAACAAAAAAAGACAACGACAACCACAACCACAACAACAACAACAACAACGACAACGACAACGACAACGACAACGACAACGACAACAACAGCAGCAACAACAACAACAACACCAACACCAACACCAACACCACCAACACCACCAACACCACCAACACCACCAACACCACCACCACCAACACCACCAACACCACCACCACCACCACCACCACCAACAACAACAACAACACCAACAACAACGACAACAACAACAGCAACAACAACCACAACAACAACCACAACAACAACCAACCGCACTAACCAGTCTTGGTCCCTGCAAGCACCACTACACCTACGTCCGCCGCCACCACTACACCCCCATGGTTGGGCCCCTGGCCGGCTGTTGCGCGTAAGCGCTTAAATATGCAAAGATGGTGAATAGATCAGCAAAGCTTGTTGCTTTATGCTGAAAAGTGATTTTCAGTTTCGGATAAACACGTGTTGCGCCTGAACAAAACCTAGTTGTCCCTTGTAATTAATCCTGGTATGCACAAGCAAGAGGAACATTCGAAAATTCTGCAGCAATGCAGCACTCCTAAACAACTCAGCCACAGTCATCAGAAGCGCCTGACTTCAACATGAAGATCATAGTGATGGTGATCATCCATGTATTGTATATGTACGTCTACTATCATTGGTCCGTTTTGTAGGAAAATTGCATCGAACAACGGTAGGAAGGATGATGGTCATGCCGATCCTTCCTCAGAAGGATCTCTGAGTTGCCGGCGCCGCTGCTACCTCTGCTGCCAATGGATCTGTTGGCAAAATCTGGCGCGTTGTTCCCGGCAAGTTTCTCCGGTACCGAGGCGGGGAAGAAAATCACAGGGGGAACAGCAAATACATTGGTTTAGCTATTTTGAACCATCATGTGGTGGGGAAACTCTAAGCATACTATGAGGCCAGTAGGCTGTCTTCCATGCTTTGAAGTGTCTCACGCGTCAAAACTTGACAGTCAGTGGTGTCGATCTTGGGTAGGGGTTGAGCGTGGAACCCTAAAATTCGGACATTGTTTCACCAACGGAAGCTCCTGCAGCAATTCTGCAACAAACATATCTACGTGCAAGACAGATGCGACTCCAGAGCAACCCCAGATAGACACGTCAGCATTTGGAACTAGGATGACATCTAACATGTAAAAACCATCTATCGGACGAAAATGCAACAGACCACTTATCACTGGAATCCGCGTGGCTTCCGCCTCGACTGGTGATTTCCTTGGTCTTTCCAAAAGTTCAATCGGTCGGGTCAGGGGGAAAATTGACGGACAGCTCATTGGGGGCTCAAATGATTTGTACATTTTTGACCATCTAAACCTGAGGAAAACCACGAGTTTCATGTCTTTTGGAGGGAGAAAGGACGCAAAGTCACTACAACTTCGCGCAAACAAAAAAACGGAGAAATTTTGGCTTGCTCACCAACTGGTGGGGTTCAAACCAGGTGCCACACTCTTTAAAAAGGATCAACAGAATATGTTTTTCCACAGGAAACTTGCATGAAGGCCAAGAAAATTATTTTTTCACGCCAAAATTCCCTCCAATGCCCCGGTTTGGGTGATTCCTTCATATCTATTCTAAATCTTTCATGGTCACTGCTGCCATTTTTGCGTGACTCATTTGGGTTTCGGCGCAGTTTCCCTGAAAACCAGGTAAATCTATAACCCTGCGTGGTTCATCCTATTATTCCTTCTGGCTGCACCCTCCACCCAAACGACCGACTCCACCAGCAAGCCACCACATTCCGTTCTGGTCCAATTCGAGGAGGAACTTGGCACGGCCGAGGGAGAGCACGGCTCCAAATGATTGAGGCACTTTTCCATCTTTTTGGGGGTTGCCACGTTGCTGTGAGAATTCGGGGGTTGGGAATTTAATCGACCGAGTTGGGATATAATTGGGATTTAATGGAATGTATCACCAGAAAAAGATCTTCATGGGGAAAATGGTCCTTTAACCATCCGCATTTTTGGGATTTGATGCAAAATGTTAGTTCCCACAAAGAAATGCCGAACAGAAACTGGACCAACCAGAAACTTCCCGTGTTTGAACCTGCGATTACAAGCCACTTCCTAGCTACAACCAAGTAGCCTTCTTGAACCTAGTGGCCCAGATTGCACAATGATGCGCAGCGGACCTAATCAACAAGCGGCCAGCTGAGGTGCATGCTGTTCTCTGATCACCCTGGCATGCACCCCAATCTGTTGCTGCCCATTCCCAAAAAAATCTAATCACACATGTGCATTCGGGGTTCAAATTCACCGCATGGAAGGTTGTCTAACATAGGGTACCTCTTTATTTTGCGAGGTGCAGCCAAATTGGGGCGAATTGCAGACGTACTCAAATATCGTATGGATGCTTAAATATCCCGTGTAAATATCACCTCCATAATCTCTTCCCCCTAGATATCAAACACCCACCAGAAACCATGGGTTAATAGGGGACTTACAAATATTTGAGACCATAGAATGGGGGTGTTTCGTGCTAGGGGGATGAGATTCAAATGATTGGTTTTACGCACCGCAGCCTTATCAGCCACAAAATCTGGCCTCACAAAGGGATCTCCACATCTCATCTGTCCAGGTTGCTTGCCAATTCAAAGGGACCGGCACCTGGGGATGAATCCCATTTTCCGATTCCAGATTTTCCATCCAGATTTTCATTGGTGGAAGATAAATCCTATTATCCTATCTGAATCAATGAATTTGAGCTGTACCCAAATATGATATGAGGTGATCATAGGACCAAACCATTCTTAGTGGCGATTTGGGGCCCTTGACCCACACCCATCCCAACAGAAATTGGAAACAATTCTGAAAATATTTAGATTCTCCAATTTGTATGATTTGATTTTGCATGCGTAAAAATGACCAACTGTGCAGGTCATTTTGGTCGCGGGATGGCCAAATACCCAAGGCATCCAGATCTGAGTGTTGCGCTACGTACTTCTGTAGTTCCGGTGGGAACTCCCCCGTACATACGGTACGGGGGAGACCCCACCGAAGAGGAGGCCCTTCACTCTCCTGCGCTCGTCTCAATTCTGGGGCTGTGGATAAATCAGTGGATCTCCCATTTTTGGGGACCAGGTTCAATGTCAATTGGGGATTTTCTCAACCGTCCGGCACACCGGCCTTGTACAACGCTTGCACAGGAACTTCAGGAGGCTTCAAGCTCTCCTGCATTCGCGAAAAATCTCCCAACTGACAGCATCGTGGCAATGGCCCCCGTAATAGCAAGAACAAGCTTGTAATTCATCTTTTTTCGTTCTTGTCTGTTTCCAGTGCTTTGATGTTCCATCTTGCACAACCCGTTGTGCCTCCGGGTCCATCTCTTCCTGCGGGGTGCCTGGAGACGTTGGGGCAAACCAGGTATGATGTGGTGGCAGCCGGGAGATCTAAACATGAGAGCCATGATTCTGCCCGTCGAGCTAAGGGTCAGTGATGTTCAACACTTGAAAAGAAGATCTTAGAGCGCAGCATTGATGATGTCAGAACATGGAAAAGAAGATCTTAGAGAGTCGCGTCAATGATGTTGGAACATTTGAGGAGAAGATCTTGGCGCGTAGCATCACTGATGTTTCAAATTTAAAGATCTTGGAACGTAGCTTCAAGTATGTTGGACAATTGAAGAGAATATCTTAGAGCGTAACATCAAACATGTTTGAGAATTGAAGAGAAGTTCTTAGAGCGTAGCATCAATGATGGTACAATGGGAGAAACATGGAAATAACATCGAAAAACATAGCATCAATGCGGGTAGAATGTGAGAAACAAAACAAAAGAAATCTTAGAGCGCAGCATCGATGATGTCTGAAAAGTGAAGAGAGTATCTGAAAGCGTAGCATCAACAATGTTGGACAGTTGAGAAGACCTTTGAGCGTAGAATGGCTGATGTTGGAAACTTGAAGCGAAGATCTTTGAGCGTAGCATCAATGATAGTAGAAAACTGAAGATCAGTTGCAGTTTGGAGATTGAAGAGAAGATCTTAGGGCGTAGCATCAATGATGGTAGAAGCTTGGAAGAATAATGCGCAGATCTTGGCGCGTAGAATCAATGATGGTAGAGTATTTGCAAGTTGGGTAGATCTTAGAGCCTAGCAGCAACCAGTTAGAAGCCTAAGGAGAAGCTGTTGGGTAGTAGCATCAATGCATTCTATGTAAAACATGCAGAAGGTCTCAGAGCGTATCAAAGCGTAGCATCAAATAATGTTAGAAACTCCTTTCCCCGGTGCGTTACTTCTTTCCTTTCGTTTAACGCTTCCCTTCCATTTGCTACAGCGTTCCTTTCGTTTCAACTCTTCCCGTCCATTTGATACTTCCTTTCTTTCGTTTCAACACTCCCATCCCGTTCATGTACTTCTTCCTTTCGTTTCAAGCCGTTCATGTGGTTACGTCCTTCCAGTCGTCTCATATACAATCCTTTCGGTTACATGTTTTATTGTAACTAGCCTATTTCGTTTGTTACTTCTTTCTTTAAGTTTCAACCCTCCCCCACGTTAGTTACTTCCTTCCTTTCGTTTCAACTCCTTCCTTCCGTTTGCTGTCAAGTCGTTCATTTCGTTACGTCCGTCCTTACGTTTCACCTCGTTTATAACCCCCTTCGTTGCTTCTTCCCCTTCGTTTCACCTCTTACGCCTCCTACAATCTGTTCGTTACTTTAATTCTTTCGTCGGTCCGTTGCAACTCTTTCCTTTCATTCCTTATATACTTCTTTCCTTTCGTTTCAATCCTTCCGTTCGGCCGTTCCTTTAGTTTCAACTCTTTCCTTTGATTCGTTACTGTCTTCCTTTCGTTTCAACTCTCTCCTTTCATTCGTTACTTCATTCCTTTCGTTTCAACTCTGACATCCCGTTCCTTACTGCTTCCCTTCGTTTCAAGTCGTTCATTGCTGGCCGTGGTCCAAGAGATTTCCTACTTGGTTGATTATAACAAAAGCATTCAACCTAACTATGATAAAATTCATCTCTCCCCTTCGGCTGAAAAAAATGATGCGGATCGAACCAAAAGTGCTGGAAATCTGGTGAAGCAGTGCCAAGGGTTTGCTATACACGGGCGGCAAACAGTGGGAAACACCGAGAAATTAACCAGCATCCACGAAAACATGGTACGAATCAAAAAAAACCAACACCCACGGTAAAAGCGATAAAAATCGAAAACATACTTCTTTCCTTTCTTCCCTGTAGGGGGCACAAGCGTATACCCGGTCGACAAACAACAGCCGCGAACCGGCCGAACCAAACTGATTTTAGCTGTTTCCGCCCTTTCAATTTGTTCTTTCCGTTCATTGTGTCCTTCCTTTCTTTTCAACTCAATGTTTCCTTTCCGTTCATTGCCTCCTTCCTTTCGTTTCGCCTCTTCCTTTCCATGCGTTACTTCTGTTCCGTTCGTTGCTTCTTCCCACTCGTTTCAACTCATAGGATCATATGGCATGCCTCTTCAAGAGGTGTCGCTTCAAACAATTTGGAGCTGGAAAATGCTAAAGGAATCCCAGGGGAACCCGACAAGAAGCTGAAGGAATCCAAACAAAAACTACAAAATGCTAGAAAAATCCAATCCTATTCTGCGTGATATTTGGTTCATTTTGGAGATCTCACAACGGGCACTCCATACAATCAATTCAAAATCCACAGAAGAAACAGGGAGTGCCGAAGGAAAATTAGAAGTCAGAGAACATGTTAAAGCTACAAGAACTTGAAAACCAAAGAAAATTCAGAAAAACTGAAAGAAATTAGAAAAAACTACAAAAAGCTGAAAAATACTAACAAAAGCTTTAAAAAACAAAAGAAAGCTAGAAAAAAAATAAAAATACTAGAAAAATCAAAAAAAGCCAAAAAAGGCTAAAAAAAACCCACTTTTGGGCCGCCGAAGGGGCACTCCCTCCAAGAGCTTTTCCTTAACATGCTTGAGTGTTATTGTCTAGCTTTTTTTTGCTTCTTTCAGCTCCCAGCACCCTCCTTCAGTGAGTTGAAGAGGCAGGTCTTGAAGAGACATGTGACGTGTAGGTAAGATCAACTCTTCGTGTCGTTTCAACTCTTCGTTTCCGTTCATTGCGTCTTTCCTTTCGTTTCACCTTTTCCCTGCTATGCGTTACTTCCGTCCGCTCGTTTCAAGTTTCAAGTCTTATATCCTGTTCGCTTCTTCTTCCCTTTCGTTTCAACTCTTCCCTGCCGTTTGCTCCGTCCTTCCTTCTGATTTAATTCTTCCTGTGCCGTCTCAACTTTTCCTTTCCGTTCGCTGCGTCCTTTCTTTCATTCCAAGTCTCCTCTTCCATTTGTTACCTCCTTTCTTTCGTATTAACTCTTATGTCCTGTTCGTTTCGTTTTTCCTTCCGTTTCAACTCTTCCTTTCTATTCGTTGCGTCTGCGCCTACGTCTTTCTTTCGTTTCAATTCTTCTCTTCCATTTGTTACTTCCTTTCTTACGCATAAACTCTTATGTCCTGATCGTTCAGTGTTTCCTTCCGTTTCAATTATTTTTTTTGTATTTGTTGCGTCTGTGCCTTCGTATCAACTCTTTTGTCTTGCTCGTTTAGCTCTTCCTGTCTTTTCAATTCGTCCATTTCGTTGCGTCCATCCTTTCGTTTAAACTCCTCCTTCCTATTTGTTATTTCTTTCCTTTCGTTTCAACTCTCACCTCACATTTCAAAGAAAACTTGAAAAAATGCAGTTCGCGAGAAAAGCAATTTTTTTCAAGTTTTCAAGGGTGGGGCCATTCGGGCTGGTATTTGCCGTCCAAGCAGCCACTTGCGGCCACTTGCGGCCACTTGCCCCTGCAGCGGCCACTTGCGGCCACTTGCGGCCACTCGAGTGGCTGCAAGTGGCTGCAAGTGGCTGCAAGTGGCTGCAAATAATGCAAATGGCTGCAAGCAACGCTGCTCTGGAAATTTCAAATCCTACCAGTAGAGCGACGGGCCACTTGCGGCCACTTGCCTAGCGGCCACTTGCGGCCACTTGCGGCCACTCGAGTGGCTGCAAGTGGCTGCAAGCGGCTGCTTTTTTGAATTTCAAATACCGCAGGTTTTGCAGCCTCAATGGAAATTTCCATGATATTGGTTAAGCTCCCCTAAATATAGGGATATACATAGGGAAATCACCACCAACAATAGGGATAGGTCCTCAAACTGCCTTTGAAAGTTGCAGGGTTTAAATACAGAATCTCATGGTAAAATCCTCCCCGCATTTTTGTGGTGGAATTCCCTGTCTTTCATATTTGGGCTGGTTAATTCCTGTGAGCTCGTCTGAAAATAATGTACCCCTACAGAATTCCATTTGCAAACACCCCCAAAGAAAAAGTTTCTGGTATGTGTTATCCCATTACATCCCTCATATACCCCAGAATTTCCAAAACTAGAAACATAAATGAAGTCCTTAACACAATGTTTGTTTACTTCTATCCTATTACATTCCATATTGATAGCCATAATTTCCTATATTCAATATATGAAGGTTTCCGAAAATAGGGGTACCCCCAAATCATCCCAGTCATTAGACCATTTTAGTATTAAAACCTATGGTGACTTGGGGATCCCCCGTTTGAAGAAACCCCTATATGTCCATTTAGTTTGTTGATTTACCCCTTAAAAATGTGATGTTCGATAGTTATGCTAGTTTACCAGAGTTTTGGCTATATGGAAGATTCCTAAAATGGGGATACTCCCAAATCATCCATTTTGATAGGGTTTCTACTATAAACAATGCATTTTGGGGTACCCCCATTTTAGGAAACCCCCATATGTTGTGCCCCATACCCCAGACCTCATTTCCAGTGAACTCAAAGGATAAGCTCGAAGATCAACTCTTTGGATAATATAGGCAATTGAGTTGGGCCAGCGCGGCAATGGTTGACAAACCAATCACAATCAAGGACAGTGTATTTGTTCCTCCATGTGTTCCTTTTTTTGCTCAAAACTGTTTGCAACAACTTGCGGCGGTTCGCAGCTGTCCTCACGGAAAGCTGTGTGTTGCGTGTGTGTGTGTATATCTATACATAAATAGAGTAAATAAATAAATAAATAAATATATATATATATATATACACACACACATACACATCTTGAAGACATGGGCTGAACGGCTCTTGGGGTTGTCCGAAAATGGGCATATCCTGAAATTTCCTAAATCCACTGTTGAACCATACTCCCCAAGAAAAATAGGAAGCAGATGCAGGCATGTCCAATTTTTAGGCACCCCCCAACACAGAATCAGCATTGACGCCGCATCTCAGCCGGGGAGCTTTCAGTAGGAACCGCAGCAGAATCTTCAGCAGCTTCTACCCGAGGTACACTCTCAAGAAGAGCAGCTTGCAGCATTTTCGCTTCCTGGTTTCAAGCCGTCCTAGAAAGATTGGTGAAATGGGTTTGTCTGAAAATAAAGTACTGGTTTATCGGTTTATCAAAATTTAGAAATTAATATTGCATTCTTTATGGGACTGACCTGCATTTTCAATCACACCCAAATGAGCATCCAATGTCTAAGTTCCATGTTTGCCATACATGGGATGAGCCATATGCACTTCAAAAAACACATCCAAAATATCACAGTCGAAACATTTAAGATACACAGCAACACCATTCCCCAAAGTAGAAAGCCAATGAACAGCACAAAGAAATTGTGGGTCCAGCTAAGATGCAGGGAAAAGGCGAAGCGCTCCAGGTTGTAAGCCCCTAAATGGGACCTAAAATTGATACATAGATCCACTACTAAACTAGGGATTCCAAGCATTGCTCAGGCTACGCTGCCTCTTCCGCGCTCCGAGGCACAGCTGCCTGACCCCCCAGAAGAGTTGGTTGACATACTTTGCAAGAGCAGCACAAATCGAATCGTGTTTGCGAGTTGAAACCATGAAAGTCATTAGAAGGCATCTTTTTTTAACCCAAAAATAAGATTGTTGAACTGATGTTTTTTTGGTTCAATTGAAAACAGAGTTTCTGACTATTGACTTGAACTTTGACTCTGACAGCGAGCTAGCCCCAATGCCCAACGACTGGAAAATGCAAGCTGCACTATAGAGCCCTATTAAATTCCTAGTTGGTGGTTTGAACCTGTTCCGAGAATGTTGGTCTGGGACAATCTTCCCAAGCAGGGATACACCAAAGTTCTTTAAAATCATCACCTATTCGCCTCCTCGGTGCCCAGAAACAGAGCCGACCATGCCGTTGACATGAAACACTATGAAGCCAGGGTTCCTGATTACTTTGCCAACATCAACATCACGTTTTAACCACGCTACTTGAAGCATTGTTCGACGCGCAAAGGAGGATGTCACCCGTCCAAAAAAATAGAAATTGGTCAAAAGCACCCGCCACAAAAAGTACCTGCTCATATTTCAGGCACATGAACCATCCACCAACCATCTCACAAAGTCCCCCCCAGAATTGAAACACGGTATTCAAAACTACCCCAAAGCCTTCGAAACATGTTAAATCTTAGCTGGGGAAACCAACAATAATATTGAAGTACACCCCATCCTCTGTCCCTGAGGATTCGGGCTAAAATGTCTGGCGCCATCTGAACCTGGGGCTTGTCACCCTCGCCAAGGCTTGTAGGTACAGGCATGAAACGGACCCAGAGGCTGCAGGTTGCAAACGCTGAGCAAACTGAAATTAAGATAGCCTGGGGATCATTGCCAAGTTTATGTCACTTACTGCATGCTATAGAAGCAATATTTGATAAACAGGGAAAGGAGTCAGATTCGGTGACCTGTCATATTTTTTGACATGTTTGGTGCGCTGCTGGATGTGCAGGACTCCCTACATGGCCATGGATCGAAGCTCTGGTACCCTGGTGAACGTCTATCCACCCTATTGTGGTATTAAAGTTATTGGTTCACCTTTATATCCTCTAGAAACATGACATCATAACCTTTATCCTTTGAGGGGTTTACCAGCATTTGTATGCCTATCAAAGATGACGTTTCACAGCCAAGGGAAATACAAGGACCGCTGACAAAACTCACAACAGTCAGTATTGACTGGTCATGACCACCAGTGACCTGCGGAGGTCACAAGGGTGGCCGAAAAATCAAAATCTTTGAATTGTCCAATGCCAATCACACCTGGAGCATCGCCCAATACCAATCGCAATAGAGGCTTGTTAAAAATTCATGCCCTGTCTACTGCTTGGCGCTTCCAACTCCCCAGAAAATACAAAACATATGCTGGTTCGCAGGAGGTAGTCACCATCCCAAGTGATGAAAAATAGGAAAAGAGATATTTTTGAAACCACCAAAACAAAATCAAACGATAGCAAACGTATAATGTTTCAAAGTCGTCAGAAATCAATGTCCCAAGTAGATGGTGGCCTGAACACGTCCCAAACATATGAATGCAGATTGGGATCATCCAAAAAAGAGTGTTTCACAATGCATATATGCAAACGTAAATATAAATATAAATATATATATATACACAAAAAGTATATACATATATGTTTATATATACATATATATATATACATCATATATCTATAAAAAAATGTATAAATATATATTTTTATTATGTGTACATATATATGTAAAATTAAATGTGTAAATGTGTATATGTGTGTATGTGTATGTGTGTATGTAGATGTATGTGTGTGTATGTATGTATGTATGTATGTAATGTGATGTAGTGTAATGTGATGTAATGTGATGTAATGTGATGTAATGTGATGTAATGTGATGTAATGTGATGTAATTGTATATGTATGTATGTATGTATGTACGTATGTATGTATATGCATGTGCGTATGCGTATGCGTATGTGTATGTGTATGTGTATGTGTATGTATGTATTTATTTACTTGTTTATTTGTTTGTTTAGCTACTTATTAATGTCTTTATTTATTTATTTATGTAGCCTGCAGTTGTACCTAAAATTAACATATATTCATATCCAGTTTCATGTCGTGAGCACTTTCCTTTCCTTTTCCCGATCTTCTGTCAAGTTGCTTCCACTCCGAGCAGCACCGGCAGAGGCCATCCTGAACATGCTGCAGCTAAGCGCTGGTCATCCAAGTTGGGTCTGGGGAAATACCGGGGCCAGCTGGATCTGCATCCGTATTAAATAAATATACGTGCGATATATATGGGATAACCGGATTCTATAACATGTGAATACACACACATTTATATATATATATATGTGTAAAACTGACCATGCAAAGCCAACAACTAAGTTCTATGCACATCCAAGTATTCAGGGTATTGATCCAAAATTTGTTACTGCATGTGGTTCCAATTGTGCCGGTCCGGTGCTCTGTCTGATTCCCCCACGTATCTAGTAGCAAATTGGGCAGCCACATATCACATTCATTGCACTGAACGAAAGATGTGGCACCACAAAGGCCGGGGTTCAAAGTGGAAAATTGCCAGAGATCCATGTTGGAGGATTCCATGTGAAACTTCAAGCTGGTGATCCATAAGCTGTAACAGATCTATTGCAGAATGCTTGTGAATTTATATCCCGCTATCTATGCCAGTAAGCATGTTGGAATTGGTGACGACCTCCCGAGATGCCCTCAGCATTGGATGGTGAGTTAGCACTGAAAATGACCATACCCGGGTTTTTGCAAAGACAAACATGCCCACCCAGAAAATATGTCATCACTTGAAATCCGAATTTCATTTTAAAGGCTCTTTGCTTGGTAATTTGACAACCCCCCAAATTTTTCATACCACATTTACCAAAATTTACAAGCCATGGGCCATATTAAAAATCAAGCCACCCCAAAAATAGGGGGTCACATTTATTGAGTTTGCTACATCAACCGGGCTGTAATCGATGAAATGCATCATTTTTCAGGGGTTCCATGCCAGTTGGTATTCACTTGCTGTAAACACTTCGAGGATCATTAACCATCTTCCATTACTAACCAGCCACTGAGCATCCAGAAATTTGAAAGCTAGCCCTGAGGCCTGCGGAGCTGCAAGATCCCGGGGTTGGTTTGTCATCTTTCTCTTTCGACAGCGCCATCAATTTTTTACGGCGCGGCCCTCCAATCTGAGAATAGAGCTCAAAAGCACCCACGCGGCCGCAATTACAGAGTGAAATGGGGTCATCCTATAGCTCCATATCAATGTGTTTCATGACAAGACATGCCACGACATGGTTGTGGCCCTCAACAAAATGGAGGTGGTGGTGCACATATCATTTCTTTATTGAACGACTTCCCATAGTTGTATATCATCGGAAATACCACCCTGGGGCTAAAATCGTGTCGGTCAACTTTTTTTCGGTCAGCGGGGAGAATCTGTCAGCTTCTCACTGTTATGCCTGCCCGCACAGCAAATGGGATGGGAACATGGAGAGAAAGAGTTGCAGGAGCCAAACCTAAACTTGGGAAAAAGTAGAGACTTAGCTATCTTAGATACGCATGATATGCTTCAGGGATCCCCCAAAGTAGAACCGATTCCGAATAATTTTGCTCCAAAATGGTGGATTAACAAATGGGAAGGAACATCAAATCCAAGAAAACAGGGGCCGGATGCAAAATGCTAAGACTGGATTCCAGCAAAGACAAACTCCCCGTGTGTGGGCGGCACTTGAGGTGATGTCATCTTTCCTAGTTGGAAAATATGTAACAGATGCCGAACCACGCCAAGACATGTCAAGACTACCTTCAAAACAGGAAAGAAGACTCACATAGATTTACGCCATGAATCTGAAGCTTTCCATGTTTGCCCCCAACCAGGTTGCACTTAGACCCACTGATTTCAGTGCCCCCTCGTGGCATTTGAGCAATGATTCAAATCCTCGCTTATCCCTGAAGCTACTGGTTGGTTTAGGGCAGGATTCCCAAACTGGTTCAAAACCCTCATCACACCATGCACAGGGGCACACTATGAGCCAGGTCAAGATTACGACGATGGCAAGCGCCAAGATGCATAGGAACATCTTGCCTGGTTCGGCTGATGGGAGATCGGCTCTGTGAAGTCAAGGATGGAGCTAGTGATGGGTTCACAAAACTGGTAAAGTTAGCCTTTGCTTTTCCAATGGTGATTTACTTTTCTATTTTTTTTGAACATCACAGTATACATTTTCAGCAACAGATCCCAAGCAGTGCAAAGTCTGTGAGTTCTTTCCTTCGATCAAGACCTGTTGCCAAACACAGGATCATTAAACCATTACCGCAAAAGTTCTATGAAAAGCAGTCCTTCAGAAAAGGAACGTGTCCAGAAGGACTTCCTGCTACTGGGGACCACTGACATGATCCAAAAAGCTCGTAAGCGATTAGGAACCAGCAGTGGCTGCCTCACTACATCCAGTTTTCAAGATTCGCAAGGGATTCCCGCAGATTGAAACTCTGTGATTGATCCTTTCCCGAAGTT